ATATATATATATGGAATGACCAGTTTTTACTCTGAGGACTCTGCTGTCAAAGCTGTCAGTGAGAGCTGGTGACCTGTGCTAATATATGATATTGAGACAGTATGACCTTCCATCAGAAGGGGACATCTCCTAGCAGATCTGGTGTTTCACTCAGTTTCCGTAGCCCAAGCCTGGCCTTCTAGAGTGGACAATACATATAATGAGAGACAAACTGGTTTTGCTTTGAGATGGCCTGTTCAATCACATGCATATCGTAAGGCTTGTTTTAGGTCAGTGTTATGCACTGGTGTTGATCTTTTCTGTGATGCTGTTCCTCAAAGTAGCTCGAAGCCTTACTGTGGACGTGTCAATGTATGTGTTCTTGTAGTGGATGCTGTTGTTTGTAGTAATGTAAAACATCGATAAGAATAGTAATTGTGCCAGTTAACCTTCATTTTCAGGCTTTATAATAAAACTATTTAAACATTTGTAAAGCTGTAGTATATTAACAAAACATTTTTGAGAAGTAAATTAAAAACTATATTTTATAGTTCCTTTTATCATGCTTCCTAGTGTTATAGTTTACACATATGGTATCACAACTTTTCTATGATTCAGTTATGAAAAACAAATATCCCAAGTTTAATATCTTTTAATATCTATATAAATTAATAGCAAACATTTTTTAATCTTATGACATTTTTCCTCAACATTTTAACAGAAAGCCATGTATCTTTCTCCATATCTAAATTTTAAAAAAACAGAGCAGAAAAAAAATCTTACTTACAAAAGTAGGGGAATACATATCCCTTTGACAAAACATTTTATTTTCTTCCTTTCTTTATAGAATGGCCTACCCGATACTCAAGCCAAGTTCCATATTATGTTTTTATTCTTTGCCGCAGCTATGTTTTCTGTCAGCTTGTCTTCTCTGTTTGGCTATCATTGTTGGCTAGTCAGCAAAAATAAATCTACATTAGGTGAGTATTCAATTGTAGTTAACAGAACTTTAAACGCATCAAAAGTTGCCATATGATTAAATGCCAACCTGTCCTGACGTGGTAAAAATCATTTTTATTTCCTACCCTGTTGTATGAGAGGGTCACTTAGCCACCTACAAATGCACTCATTCTGTATATTTCTTGACTGTCCATTGTGTGTAAAGCATTGTGTATATACAGTGGTGAGCAAGGGCAAAATAGTCTATGGGGGGCACAGAAAATCTGTAACCAAACATAAAAGTAATTACAAAATGTCAAGTGTTATACAGGAAACAAACAGAATGCTGAGGTATGAATCGAGGACTGGGATGATGGAAGGGAACCTACTTAGAGTGGCCAGGGAAGGGCTTATCAAAGCAACAAGTATATAACCTATGAAGTCTGTCATGGTAAGAGCCATAACATCTCAGGCAGAGGAAACAGTATGTTCAAAAGCCCTACAGAGGTGGGATGCAGCTAAAAACAGTACTTAATGGGAAATCCACAGCTAGCTATAAATGATTCCATTAAAAAAGAAGAAATATCGCAAATCAGTTACTTCAAATCTTAAGGAAGTACAAAAAGAGAGCAAAGGAAACCCAAAGCCAGCAAATGGTAGGAAATAATAAAGATTAGAAAGGAGACAACAGAAATCGAGACTTTAAAACATAGAAGTCCAGTGAAATCAATAATTGGGTCTTTGAAAATATGAACAAATTCTACAAGTTATTAGCGAGAAAGAGAAAATAGAGAAGACTTAATGGAAATCGGTAATGAAAGTGGGGATATTACTACTGAATTTACGGAAATAAAAAGGGTTATAAGTGAATACCCTGAACACCAAAAAATTAGGTAGCCCAGATGAAATGGACAAATTTCTAGAAACATACAAACTACTAATTTGACTCAAGAAGAAATATAAAACCTGAGCAGACCTGTGACAAGTAAAGGGATTGAATTGGTAATCAAAAACCTCCCAAAAAGGAAAGCCCAGGACCATATGCCTTCACTGGTGAATTCTCCCAAACATTAAAATAAATAAATAAATAAAAATAACATCAATTTTTCTCAAACTCTGCCAGAAATTAGAAGACAGGATAGCACTTTGTAACTCATTCTGTGAGGCCAGGATTATCCTAATACCAAAGCCAGACAAAGACATCCAAGAAAACTACAGCCCAGTATCCCTTATGAATATAGGTACAAAAATCCTCAATAAAATAAACCAAATCCAGCAGCTTATTAAAAGGATTATGTATGGTGGCCAAGAAAGATTTATCCTAAGAATGCAAAGGTGTTTCAATATGCAAAAATCAATCAATGGTAATATACCACAATAATACAATGAAGGGGAAAAAAACCACATGATCAACTCAGCTAATGCAGAGAAAGTATTTGGCAAAATCCAACACCCTTTCGAGGTAAAAACACTTAACAAATTAGAGGCAAACGAGAATTTCTTCAGCACAAGGGGCTTCCTCAAGCCCCAAATGATAAAGTGCATTAATGAGAAATCTGTAGCTGATATCATACTCCATGGTGAATATAAAAACCTTTCCCCTAAGACTAGAAACAAAACAAGATTGGCCACTTTCCCTAGTGGTGTTTAATCTAGCCAGAAAAATTAGTCAAGAAAAAGAAATAAAGCCATCCAGATAGGAAAGGAAGAAGTAAAACCATCTTTCTTCGTGGATGACATGATCTTCTATATTAAAAAAAAAAAAAAACTTAAAGAATCCACGATAAAAACTATTAGAGCTAATAGTTGCATGACACAAAATCACGATGCAGAAAAATCAGTTGTATTTCTATACACGAGCGAAGAACCATCCAAAAAGAAATTAAAGAAACAATTCCATTTACAGAAGCATGAGAATAATAAAATAACTAGGAATAAGTGTAACCAAGGAGGTCCAGCAGTGGTACACTGAAAACTACCAAGCTTGCCTGAAAGAAACTAAAGACGCAGATAGATGGTAAGATTTCCCGTGTTCATATATTGGAAGATTTAATATTTTTAAGTATGACCCAAAGTGATTTACAGAGTCAGTGTAATCCCTATTACAATTTCAATGGCCTTTCTTGCAGAAATGGCAAAGCTGATCCTCAAATCTATCCATCCACACATCTATCTAAAAAAGATCCAGAATTTATAAAGTTTTAACTTGCTTATTTGTGTTTTCTGATTTTCTTTTGCAATGCACATGTGCTGCTAATCATAATAGAAGGATTCTTTAAAAATGGAAATAAATGCAATCACATCCTCTAAAACAGAATAGGCAATCTATGTGGCAGAGCTTTTGATAGGTACGCGAGTTGTGCATTCACAGGGGGCTAGCCATTGATTTTTAGAGTTCCCTCATTTAGTCCAGTGGTTCCTAAATGTGGGGGTTGCTAGATGTGTTACTCATGTGATTGTTCTCCCATTTTTTGGCAGAGGCGTTTAGAAGTCCTGTATTTCGACACGGAACAGATAAGAATGGATTCAGCTTGGGTTTCAGTAAAAACATGCGACAAGTTTTTGGTGATGAGAAGAAGTACTGGTTGCTACCCGTTTTTTCAAGGTAGTTTGTTGTGAAAACATTTGGGTTTTAAACCAGTGAAAGCAACCCAACAGAAGAACTATAATTCTGCATGGGAATTCCTGTTTTTGTGAAAAGAATTATTTCGTGGTTCACCCTTCTATCAGTGTGGAAGTCAGTTAACTGAGCCTCTCCCTTAATAAGCTGTATTGAAGCCAGGGTCTGATAGACCCGTTTTGTCCGTAGCATAACTGTGTTCCGCTGGCAAACATCACACTGTAATGGTTTCACACTATGGCCTTTTTTACTGCTCAGTTGTAAGTTTTCGTTTTGATTCTAGTCTAGGTGATGGCTGCTCCTTTCCAACTTGCCTTGTTAATCAGGATCCTGAACAACCATCTACTCCTGCAGGAATGAACTCAACATTGAAAACGTAATCCCATATTTTTTTTCTATTTTACTTTCAAATAATATATGTTCTCCTCCTGTGTCCTTGGGCTATATATTTCTTGGGGAAAAAAAAATTAAAAACCTAGGATACTTGACCACAATGGTTCCTGCTTGGAATGAGGGAGATAGGAAAGTATGATTGGGGAGGGGTACATAGGGAGCTTTAAGTATACTTGTCAAACTCTGTTATTACTCTGGATAAACAGGTGTTAATTCTCCATACATGCTGCTTGACTGAAGTATATTACGATTTTTAAAATGTAGTGCTTGAAAGAAGAGCATATAAGTCCAAATTAGCTCCCCTAGTGATCAGGTGAGCAGACAGGAAACGTGCCCTCGGACCCCCCAGGTCCTTTCTGTGGTACCTATAACATTATAAAGAGATAAGAAGCACTTCCTTGGATTAGGTTTTTGGAGATCAAATGGAATCCCAGACACCTGCTTGCTAGTGCACCACATTTCCTAATGCTTATTAAAGACCAGTAAACATTATCTGGGCCATTTCAGTGGAAGGGAAAGGCAAGGGGCCCTAGAAATTTAGTGTTTGGAGACTTTTGCCCTTGCTTTGTCAAGAATTTGAGGAAGACCTTACAATTTGATTCTAACTTTGCAATTAACTGGCAAAAGGCAAAACTACTTAAACCTTTTAAATGCTATGTATGAATTTTTAAGTTTAAAACACTAACTTTCACATCTTTAAGACAGATTTATTTGAATATGGCCATACCTCTAATTTTTAAGGGGAAGCCAGTAGCAAGAGCATAACTGTAATATTCTTAAATTTTAGAGAGTTTCTTCTTTGCTGGAATGCCACGTACATAACACCTGTACCTCCGCTCCTGCTGTCTCCATTTCTTATTGATCACAGCACGTCCTCTGGTGGAGCCTGTCATGACCCCACAATTCTTCTTGAGGCAGTGACCCTGGTAGCCGTTCCAAAGCCATTTTAAATTGTCACGAGATGAAACCTATTTGCCACCCCATCCCCAGCGTGACCTTGGACACAGTAGACTGAACAAGTTAATGAGGAGGCCATTCTGATGTGTTTCCCAGGGACATTCAAAGGCACCGGAGTCTTAGTGGGATGTCCCCTTTGAGTTTGGGCTTGAAAATTTAACAGAGTTATATCTTAACGATTTTCCTTGTATCTTCATGCAGAAAAATATCACTTTAATAGATTATTTAGAATGTTTTCAAGCTTTTATAAAGTTTAGTAGTTTTCAGTAACGTTTTTTACCCTTTAAGTGGTTTTTGTAGTTCAAGAAGATTTGGTTTTCAGAGATGGTATCTCTCCTTCTACTAAGTGTACCAAAGGCCCTCGGAGAAATCCTAATTCTGGCACTTTTGCCCTGCTAGGTGATCTTGAAGGGGTCAAGTAACCACTATCGACTTCCTTTTCCTTTAAATTTTGGGATTGGATTTTGACAGCTAAATTGTCTTTTATGTAATTCTATAATTCCTCCTTGATGAGCCCATATAAAATTGTTATGGCAAGTGGCTGCCTCTCCTCTCTACTGCAGAGTTTTATGTCTGACTGTCTACTGAACATTCCCACTTAAATGTCTAAAAGTCATCTCCCACTGAACAGGTGCAAAGCGGATATCTTGATTTCCAACCATCAACACCCTTTGGCTTAAATCTGATTCTCCTCCATCCTTCTGGATGTCAGTATACGTGACCCCATTCTCCCAGGTGCTCAGGCCAGAAACCACGCACCATTCTAGACTCCTCTTTCGTTACCTTGTATTTACTCCATTTGCACATCCTGTCAGATGCCCCTTCAAAATATGCCAATAATCCGAATACTTTTTGTCACCCCCAGACTGCTTTCCGGTCCAAGGCATCATTTCTCACATGGATTACTTCCACATCTTCCTTGCTGGTCTTTCTGGTTCCATTTTTGCCCTACTTCAGTCTACTCTCCATTAAGAATCAGATTGTGTCACTCCTGTGCTCAAAACCCTCCCTTGGCTTCCCATCTTAATCAGCATAAATCAAATTAGTGTCCTTACCTTGTTCTGTCTAATCTGGCCCCAGTAGCTCTCTAATGTCATCCCTTACCACCTTCTCATCCCTCACGGTCCTCAGACACACAGATCTTGCTGGTCCCCAAATGTACCTGGCATGTCCCTTATTTATTGTCTTTGTACTTGCCAATTCCTCTTCCTACCCATTTTTTTTTCCAGCTATCTGAATGCTCTTCGACCTTTTCTTAATTCACTTCCAGCTCAGGTGTAACTTCACAATACAGGCTATCTTTGAAAACCCTTTGTAAGATAGGGACCTGCTCCCTCGCTTCCCCTTACTCTCTCTTTTTCTGTTGTCAGCTCTTCCTGTCACCTGACTTATTACATATTTGCTTATTTATTATTATTCTTCCTCAGTTACAGTGAAATTTCTGTGCGATCAAAGACTTTATTCCTTGGTGTAATAGGTACTCAATGAATACAGTTGAATGAATGGATCCTTCCTTGCCATTTGTTAGTCTTGTTGGCAGTAACGAATCTGCAAGGATTCCCTAAACCAGGACCTGGTTACTATGCTAAACCAGGTGTATGGGCCCTTTCCTGAAGAATAATAAAAATTAGAATACAAGAGTTATTTGGGGTTTTTTCATATAAATAGGAGACATGCTCTTTATTTTTAAAGATTTATCTCCAGAATTTTAATAAAGGGATGTTAAAGCTGCACAAAATTAAAATATTCTCCAATTTTAGATATGAGGTAATTATTAAGGAGCAAAAGCATATCCTTTAAAAAATATAGTATAGTCAACTCACATATGTGAAATTATTCTTGGAAGAAATTGAACTTTTTTTTCTGAACATGATTATAATTACTATTTCAGGGTGTTCTAAAACTACACTTATATAGTTTCTATGCCAATATTTTTTTCTGAGTGAAATGTTATTTTTTAATTTTTATTTTTTCATGCCACCCAATAGATTGATATGTAGCATGGGTACTTAAATTTTAAAACTTAAATTCTTCTTTGAAGACTCTTCATTCTCCAAATTAAACAACATTTGTAAAACCTGATGTTGTCAGATGTTTCCAACATTTTTGCAAGATAGCACTTAAATTTGTTGTTTCAGTTTAAGAGAGGAAGATAGAGAATTCTTTAAGACTAGTTAGGCCACTTTAGAAACACTAGGCCAATTTTTCTCAAACTTTTATTTCTGCTATCACCTTCATATATATGTTTTCCATATCCACATACCACATAAAACTAATATTTTTATTTAACATATTTATTTAAATTGGCACTGAAGTTTATTTTTTTTTTATTTTTTTTTAAATTTTTTTTTCCACGTTTTTATTTATTTTTGGGACAGAGAGAGACAGAGCATGAACGGGGGAGGGGCAGAGAGAGAGGGAGACACAGAATCAGAAACAGGCTCCAGGCTCTGAGCCATCAGCCCAGAGCCTGACGCGGGGCTCGAACTCACGGACCGCGAGATCGTGACCTGGCTGAAGTCGGACGCTTAACCGACTGCGCCACCCAGGCGCCCCTGAAGTTTATTTTTAAATCAAACAGTACCTCACTGTCATAAATGAAAACTGCGATATATTGCCATAAATAGAATACAACTTTAAAAAATAAAATTGATAATTAAACACTATTAAATTCTAACTAAAATCCCTCACCTGCTAAAGTCAGAGACGGAGGCCTGTTCTTTCAAAGATGGAGACGCCAGAGTCAAGGATTGTCATCTTGTTATATTCGGAAGAATGACGAGACAAGGGAAGGGAGAACGGTTTTCTCATTGCGAGTCAGTGCCATTTAATACCTTATTCCCTGTTCCCCAAATTCCCTTGGGAAGTTGTTTGAATTCTGTACTTTGAGAAACACTCAACATAACGCGATCAAGAATTAACATGATGATTATGATGATGATTATTCTTATTCAGTCCTGAAAACCATCAGTTCCCTGCAAAGCCCTTGAGAGAGTCCCAGAGTCACCTTCTCACGGATTCCCAGTCTTGGACTGAGAACAGTGCAAACCCAGGAAAAGGCAAAGCTGGTAAGGGTGTCCTGATTTGACTGTTTTATTTAATTAAGGTGCTTATTCACCTTTAACAAAAGGTGAAGGTAGTGAAAACAATCCCATCATATAACCTACAAAATTTTGGAGTTGGATTCCCATTGTAAATTTAGAATTAATTTTCAGGAACTTTTTTTTGTAAAGGCCTTTGGTTAATGTCTAATGTTAGCTGAAGAAGATCATTTTGTGAAAGATAGATCTACATTGCTTTTATCCCAGTGTAAGAACCAAATATTAACTATTGCCTATTAAATAACATGATGTAAGTATACTCAAAATGTAAATGTTTAATGGAAAAAGTAATTGACTCAGGCAACAGATTGAAAAACATCCAGTGAAAAAGATCTTAATGTGATTCTTTTACTCTAAGATTTCTATCCAGTTTCAGAATGTCAGAGTAAAGTGATTGCGTGATTGCCGTAACTTAAGCTGTTATTTCTTCAAATCCCACTCACATTTCTGTTGTATTGCTGTTGATTTTAATCTGTGACTGCATCAGTTAGTATAGTTTATCAGCAAAGGGTTTGAAGTTAGACCTGATTTCAGATCTCAATTTTGACACCTAATTGGTGTGTGAGATTTGTAGTTACCTAATCTCTTTTAGACTTAGCTTTCTTTTCTTAAAATGCTCCTTATTTCTCAGGGTTGGTGAGGATTAATCAAAGCATGTGATCATGCATGCCAGCATATATGGATGCGTGTGGTGTCCCTTATAATTGAGTATAAAATCATACATGCATGATGAAAGCACCATTAGCCAGAAAATCTTCTCCTTCATTTCTAGTCCTTTCTTCAAACTCTCTCCTAGTGCTGCCAGACTTTGGCTCACTTCACTTTATTTTTTTTACTTTTTTTTAACGTTTATTCATTTTCGAGAGACAGAGACAGAGCACAAGTGGGGGAGGGACAGAGAGAGAGGGAGACCTAGAATCCAAAGCAGGCTCCAGGCTCTGAGCTGTCAGAACACAGCCCGACGCGGGGCTCGAACCCACAAACCGTGAGATCATGCGTGACCTGAGCTGAAGTCGGATGCTTAACCAACTGAGCCATCCAGGCACCCTGGCTCACTTCACTTTAAAGTGTTTGTTGTTTTATTTGAAATCTCTTTGGAATTTAGTGATGGTAAAACATGACAGTTCTAACTAAAAATTCTAAGGTCATTATTTAATATACAATCAGTCATATTCTGCTAAAATATAGGCTTTCTGGGGCGCCTGGGTGGCTCAGTCGGTTGAGCGTCCGACTTCAGCTCGGGTCACGATCTCACGGTTCGTGAGTTCGAACCCTGCGTTGGGCTCTGGGCTGATGGCTCAGAGCCTGGAGCCTGCTTCTGATTCTGTGTCTCCCTCTCTCTCTGCCCCTCCCCCATTCATGCTCTGTCTCTCTCTGTCTCAAAAATAAATAAACATTAAAAAAAATTAAAAAAAATAAAATATAGGCTTTCTTTAAAGAGTTTTGTGCTTAAGGAATAGATAAAGATCCCCATCCTTTGAGTATTCCTGGTTTTGTCTTTCTCCCACCTTCAAACCGGCCATTCCATTTTCCAGTCTGTGGGAAGGGCTAGATATTGCCTAAACAAAAATTGATGACACCTGTTAGCCCTGTGAATCCCTCAGTTTTCTTGGAGGCAAAGAAGTGATGTATAGTCAGGGGTCAGTTTTTGGGGGGTGGAAAGACAAAGAGCTCCCTTTCTTTCAGAAGGAATTCATGTTTCCTCGTACAGTTCTGCATTAACATAGAAGGATTTCTTCCTTTTTATGTGCTGTTACTTATTTGGCATGTTAGATTAATTTTCTGTTACTTGGATGGATGAATATTTAAAGTCTAAAGGATGATGTAAAAGAAGGAAAAGAAATGTGAGAAGGATGAGGTGAGGGAGGGCTCCAAGATGAGTTTCAGCAGGATGTAGTAGGTAAATGTAGAATTAGGAAGAGTACTTTAAGATGATGTGAGAAGTGCCCAATCCAATGTTATCTTTAATGTTTTTGTTCCTGCCCACCCCCACCCCCCGCCCACTTCCTCAGGTGTATGTCTCTTTTTAAAGTGCTATTTTTGTGGGGCCTCTGAGTGGCTCAGTCAGTTAAGCATCTGACTTTGGCTAAGGTCATGATCTCACGGTCTGTGAGTTCGAGCCCCGCATCGGCTCTGTGCTGACAGCTCGGACCCTGGAGCCTGCTTCCGATTCTGTGTCTCCCTCTCTCTCTGTCCCTCCCCCATTCATGCTCTGTCTCTGTCTCAAAAATAAATAAACATTAAAGTGCTATTTTTGTGACACTCTGGGTGGTCAACACTGTACGTGTGTGTGTGTGTGTGTGTGTGTGTGTGTGTGTGTGTGTGTGTGTGTTTCTGTATGATCGTCTTACAAACCTGTACTGCATGCAAGGCACCTTTGGAAGCATATGGAGGGAATCAGGGATGAAAAAACTAGTCTCTATTTATTCAAAAGAACCCCCCCCCAAAACAAAATGCTAATTTATGTTCTTTCTTGAAGGTATGAGCAATCCTGCATTAACCATGGAGAATGAGACTTAACTCTTCAAACAAAATAAATTCATACTTTATGAAAGTAAGGTACGTTTTTTTCTTAATTGTTATGCTTTGTATTTTTAACAATTTTCCAGTTCTCTTAGGGCAAATAGTTCCCATAAATGTTATTATTTATTTTTGAGTGATTGAAATTTGAAGATGTTTTAATTAACCCTTAGGATCCTATCGTGTATCATGTTGGAGACCTGTGCAGGTGGACCTAGCTTTGGTATTAGCCTGTATGTAGGGTAACTTGACAAATAATTGGAGTAAGTTGATGAATGAAATTCATTTTTATAGCAATGCACTAAATGGCAAGGATTACTCCTAAAATATTGAACTTTACTTGGCACTTATCTTGTCAGATGATAGGTTCCTGGAGTTTTTTATTTTCTTCTATCCTTCCAGATTACAGCAGTTATATCCTTGACCATCTGTCAGTAGAATTCCACTGGGTCTTAGTACAAGACAATTATATCTTGTTAGTACAAACCTCTAGCCATCCCAATTTTGGGTTACAGTAGCACGCCATGGCATGTGTTACCCTTAAAGTAATAAGTGCTCCAAATCATTTTCTTTAAACCATATTTTTTTTTAAACCTGTTGTTCTAAATCAGTTTCTTTAAAAGGTAATTTCTTTATAAGCCAGCCTGCAATTAATACAATAAAGAGCAGCTTTGGAACAAAGCCATAATCATCTAAACAAAATAAAAAATTGTATGTGCTGTTATAATGAACACAGTATAGAGTTGAACAGTAAAGTTATCAAGACAAATCTCTATTTATAAAACTGCAATCTAGAATCCTAAAGTCGAAAAACAATCAAGAGAATGGAATCTAAAACACAAAATCATTTGTGTCAAAGTATTTCATGGATATCTGGGTTGTTTTCTTTGGTTTTTGACCCATTTTAATCCTCTAAATCTGTTTTCTTTCTTTCTTTTTTTTAAAATCTGTTTCTTTCTTTCTTTGGTTTTGGTTTTGATAAGTAACTATGTACTAACAGCAAAAAACTGATCTGGGAATTTGCCAGTTGACTAATGTTTTGGTTTTGGATGACTGTGGATGATCTTATAGTAGATCAGATTCATCATAACTATGGTTAGGATAGTGAAAATTTCATCTTAACTTGGTTAAATGGCAAAAAGACAATATTAAATTTCTGGAAGTAATTCTTTTTGAAATTTTTTTAATGTTTATTTTTGAGAGAGATAGAGACAGAGCGTGAATGGGGAACAGGCACAGAGAGAAGGAGACACATCATCCAAAGCAGGCTCCAGGCTTTGAGTTGTTAGCACAGAGCCCAGCACAGGGCTTAAACTCATGAGCTGTGAGATCATGATCTGAGCCAAAGTCAGACGCTTAACCAACTGAGCCACCCAGGTGCCTCTCTAGAGGGAATTCTTAAAATGTAACTGAATACACAATAATTGAATTACTAAGTAATACTACAAATAAAATATTATACTAGTTCTGTAAAGCATATAAAGTTTCACAGGATGTTTTTTCAGTATTTTGAACCATTAGTTCTAATTACCATTTGTTTGTGAGGTCATATGTGTTAAATGTTCTATATATTGACATAACCAGGGACATTCAAATGTGTCTTTAGAAATTGAATTTTCCCAAAGTAGCTAATATTCCAAATTGTTTTTAAAATATTTAAAAAATAGTTTTTCCTGCTTTACATCTCAGACTTGCAATTTGTTCAGCGCACATGATATTGATAGGCTTAATTTAATTATATTCTGAATGATATTTCCATCTCTTCTCTTTTTGAAGTACATTAATAAATTATTTGTGGGCTTTTTATAAAATATTTATTAGTTCATACTTTGCAGATCGTTATGTCCCTAGACCCATAGTAGCACTGATGTGTAAGTAAAATTTAGCCTTTTCAACCTTCCCTCTTATATAAAGAAAAAATGCTGTGCTTCAGGTGCAGTGAAGCATCTGACTCTTGATCTCAGCTCAGGTTATGATCTCACATGTCATGGTTTCGAGCCCTGCATTGGGCACCCTGCTGACAGGGTGGAGCCTGCTTGAGATCCTTTCTCTCTCCCTCTCTCTCTCTGCCCCTCCCCCACTCGCTTGCTCGCTCTCTACCTCAAATATAAATAAACTTAAAAAAAAAAATGCTGTGCTTCTATGCACATGAAGTTTCAAAATGATTTTCCTACATCCCCATCCAGCTTAGCTGGCACTTCTAAACTCCTCCTGGCTTCAGACAAATGCAGAACTAGCAGTCCTGCTGCTGGCATTGGGGCCCCAAACCTTACCCTGGACCTACTGAATCAGAATCTGCATTTTCTGCATTTTAACAAGATCCTCTGGCCTTGTATATGCATATTATAGCTTGAGAAGGACAGATGTAGAGGTCTGAATTCAAGAACACATCTGAGCTTTCCAGCACAGAAAACATGGAATTCTGAGCAGGGAATGTTACTCAACAAACATTGAATGAATTGTTTTTGCTTTTGCTTTTTTTTATAGTTAACACAATAATTTCATGATTTCTGTTTCATTTCAAGGTATCAGTGCTGCTGGTGGATGGCAGAGGCTTCCCACAGGAAGGCACCACGGGCCCGTGGTTCCCATTTCTTCTTGGCTGGATATGCAGAATATGAATTGGTTAGTTCTCTCCAAGCCGTTGCTTAAAATATAACACATTTAAAAAAAAACCAGTATAGAGATTGTTTCAACTAACACAAATTCCTGTTAAATATTAAAAGTAATTATGGTTTATGAATCAAGGACAAAAATATCTTCTATCATAAAAACTTGGAATAAATTCATGGGCTTATTTTCACCCAAATATTTGGGTTGTAGAATGTATACACATAAAAAGCCCATTAACCATCTGATTTTTCTAATTCAGAAAATTGAGACTATTAAGATACTGAAGTTTAAAAGATTTCAAATTACAGTATAATGAGAGCTTTATTCATAAAACCTGTTAGTTACCTGTGAGGTGGAGGGAGCCTGTCAGACTTGTTTCTTCCCTCTGCTGTAAATCTGGCCCCAGACTGAGTGAACTCTAATGACTATGAATTCATTGCAAATTTTAATTGGCCCACACTTGAAAACTGCCATCATTTTTTGCCAGACTTTAATTCTAGGCTTTGTTCCCTGCTGGAAAAGAAGTGTGATCATTGATTGAAGACTGAACTCACTGATAAGCAACTAGCTGGCAAATTTTTTGTCACAACTAACACATTTCTATTACATCCAAGATATATTTTTCATCTCTCCCAATCTTCTTAAACCGGGGGAAAATCTATATAAAAACAATTATGGTTGGTTTATTATGTTCTTTTGCCAGTATGGCTTTTTTGAAAATCTGTTTTTTAGGTTATTTGTTCTACTGAACAGAGCAAATGTATTGAATTTGTTAAGCATCGCCAATGGGCCAATAGATTAATCCTCCATTGGTATCTATATTTTTTCCGTGTCCCCTCTCATCAAAAGTATGACACTTAACTTTATAGTTCTTCAAATACTTAAGACTAAATTATGCAAATCATTAAAACAAATCGTATACTTTCAGAAATTTAGTTCAACCTGAACTAAATGGCGTGCTGTTTGGAAATTGAGTTTAAGGTAAACTAATGTGGTGTGTTTGTCAATGCCAAAACGTTCGGCTTCGGTAAATATACTAGGAAGCTCTTGTGCCTTGTACGCACTATTTGAAAAAGTTTTATTCTTTTTTTGAGTGGAGTGTAAGTTTTGTAAATGTTAGAGATTAGAATAAGCTTAAACAGTTTTTGGTACTGATTTTGAGAATTTAAAGCAGATTATCTTTTAAAATGTGCACAGTTAAGGAACCAGTATTTAATCAAAGAGACAATGGTATTACACTTTTCAAAATCTGAGTTAGACAAAAATGCAACACTGAAGAGACCAGGAGACTGGAGGATAATGGAGTAGAAAGATCCTTGCAATTACTTGTTCTTTCTAAAAATATAAAGCTTACATTTTAATGAGTTTATGAAAGAACCAATGTCAGCCAAGTCCATTTAAAGATCATTTGAGTGCAATTCTTTGAACAACAGGGATACTCTTTCCGATTTTTTTTTTTTTTTTAAACCTGAAGATTTTGATCTGACAATCCGTTTCAGGAAATCTCAGAAGATATGATGCATTTTTACTTGTTACTTTTAAAGCATTTTTTGGTCATCATTTTTTATTACCTGAAGTGCCAGGTTGGAACCTATAGCTACTGCTACGAGTCTTAAGGGCAACAGCATCACGTGATGTATTACGAAATATATGCAGCCAGGTTTTTTCAAAGCACAGAGTACTATAGCCATTTTTGTGGACAGGATTTTGTGAGGTGTTCCTTCTTGTCAAAATAGAAGCTAAGAAAAAAGTGGGGTTTTTATTCTTTCCCTTGCGAGAGTACTGTTAAATTTTCCCCCTTTAGGTCTTTTGTGTAATTATTGATATACATGATGAGTTGATACACAGTAGAATCATTCGAAAAAAATTTTTACGAATAAATTTTTTTCCATTAAGTTGCATTGGTTCCCTTTTTGTTTTCATACAGTGAATAATCTTTCAAGGGTTTTGTTTTTAATCTAGGTGGTTAGAATTTTTAGAGATGATGGCATATCTCATTAGATATGCAGTATAAAGTTTACCTGAGTGAATAAAGCATCAGATAGACCTGCATTTTTGTACATATTTATAAAATGTACCTTAAAAACATTTTAAACATTTTGCTTTAAAAAATTTAATTGCTCAACTGAAACTTGAAGACACTTATACTTCCACTGTCCTGATAGTCCACTTAACTGATAATTTTGATTTTTTCCTGTTTTTAGAAATTCTACCATAGAGAGAAAATTTTTAAGAATTTTTTTAAATATTGTGCAAATACTTCATATACTTTAGTTAACTATTTGCCATTGTGCAATGAAGACGGTTTGTTTTTTAAAGACAAAACTTTGTTGCATCTAAATACAATGATGAGCCATTCAAGGCAGTGCTTACCCATGAATTCCCTC